GGCTTGGGAAGCTCGAGCTTTTTGGGTGCTATTTTAATCATAGTAAAGATGCTGACAATATCTTTGGTAATTTATTTTATACAATGTTGTAGTAGTAAACCCTAACCCTAGGAACATATGTTCCAATAATGAGATCTAGAATGACTTTAAGGATTAATATCTGAGACCACTGAAAACCTCGAGTGGCTCGAGCTGTACTTGAGTATTTACAAGTCGAATCGAGTCGAGCAGCTGTTATCACGAGCCGATTCGAGCTTTTCCTCTTGCTCGTCTCGAGCCGGCTCGTCGACCACACTACTGGTGATTAACGAACTGTTTGCTTAATCTGTCCATATTGCTTTTTATGTTTTTCTCCACCTTGGAGCTTTTTTTTTCAGTGATCGGAGGAGTTCCACAATTAACTACAATGTATGTATCTTTACTGTTCGAGAGTCCACTTGTAACTACTGGTGAGCATCACCAAAAATAGGGAGGAACCGCATGAAGAAACCCTAACCCTTTTTTTTTGTAAAATTTCTCTAAGGAATCTTTTGCTGGGTATAAGGAACGAGTCGCGCCCAATTTTGCACGTTCAGTACAGCGAGGTGCGACTGTACTCCCTCCTCTTAACCCCGCACTGATAATAGAGAGTTTAAGCCATCCGAGTTTTTGGCAACAGCAAAGCTCGTCGGACAAAAAAGATCAGCGGTCCAGGGTCAAAGGAGAAAGGAACTAACCCAGGGCTGGTAATTTCTGCTGTTGATACCGCTGTATCGAGCACTAGTAAGAGCTTCAAGACTACCAGTTTGGAAGTGAGCTACGAGGGTTGATTATTTTTGCGCTGATCTTTTTTGTTCTTGCCAGAAATCTTTGGTTCTATCAGAGTCACTGGAAGGAGAGAGGTGCGGCTGGGTTAGGGTTACTATTTCTTACTAAGTACATGTAGTTTTCTTTTTTACAGCCGCACATCTACCCACACTCTAGTCATTTGACTTTTATGTAAATACATGTACTCCGTGTTTTTGACTATACAACTCTACAGTCGTCGGTGGGGCGGGGGATGAGGATCGGACAAAGGTGGTTGAGATAAGCTTTGCCAAGGCGGGAAGCAAGGTACTCTACTTGCCGGATTTTAACGACCTCAGCGCCGCAACGGCGCAACGCAACACAACGAAGCCCAACTTGACGAAGCCCAATGCAATGAATCTCATTTGTTACGCCTGATAATTATTCTTACCAATATACTAATATTTTCCTCCAGAAAAACGTATGGTTATGATACTTGCTCGGTGTTGAGGTGTTATATCAGGTGCGAGCACGTACGGTTGCGACTCACCCTTCCTTGTACTTCCGTCCTACTCTTTAAAATCCGCCAAGTAAGTGTACGGAAGATACCCTGGAGGGCGCGTTCCCGACTCCGACATCTGTACCAAGCCTTGCCGTGCTCGGGGGTGATGAGCACGAGACTACGACCTCCAAAAGAACAAGAAAAAAACACATGAGTAGTTTGATGATTTCATGGAGAAGCGAAGCTAAGATATTCAGCTCATGATATCATGATTTGGGGTTGAACACATGAATTCATGCTATCATATTCATTGATTACATGATCGTCAATATCTCTCAATTCGCGACGCACCGCCCCTCCTGGGTTTGTTCGATTTTAATTTGTGCACTCCCGAGTGCAACTCTGTATATCTGTATCTTATGAAGTATGCCATAGATGCACTGAACTGATGGAACAGTCTTTCCGCTGGTGTTCCGGTGGTTGTGTTTGTTGGTTTGAGTCTTTGAGCTGTAGCAGTTTACCGTGCGCTACCTACTATGCGGTTCGACTACTCCTTACATGCTGGACGATGCTTTGAAAGATCTGCGTGCATGGAACCTCGATTTGGTTCCTATCCGCCGGATATATCTGCTCCTATCCCGGGAGCTAGGTACCCGTGGGTCCCTATAAGTGATACAAAGCTCATATAATCCATATTTTTCAACAAGAAAACAAGATGCGAAGAGGGTGCCTTTTGGCGTTATTGGGTCAAACGTTGAATCACTTTAAGGGACCCTGGGATAATGTAATCTCGTCACCTTAATTAGCTTTCGATATGCTTTTTTTTGCAACTCAGGGAGATGTATACAGGGTTTTCCCGTGAAGCAAGCACACAATTAAATGAGCATTCATACACAGATTTTTCTTGTCTGCAGTTTTGGCCCCAAATTTTATGTGTTGTTTCTGTGGTGGATGTCCTCTCTGCTCGGTAGCCTGTTTGCTCGCTTCGCAAGGAAACATTGTACCTGCCAAATCCTCTTTTGTGTCCAGGTATTTTTTTCCACATGCAGAAAAATTGGAGCGCATATCCCCAAACGAGACAAATGTTCTAAAACATAATCAATTGGATAGCTCTCTTGTTGAGGTGAAGTTGGCGGGACAACAATAGGTTTGAAAAAAGTAAGTAGGTATTGCTTCGGTGAACACGTGGGCACATGCTTTTGGGTAAAGTGTTCTGTGGACTTTGTGTACAGGCTTGAATACAAGAGTAGAAGAGTCGTTGCACAGGACAGTTTTGCGACGCATCCTGCACTCTAACCCTGACCCTGGAAATTACGTGATCATCAAACAACAGTGGTGTTTGTCAACAAACTTACTTGTTTTAATCTAAATACGAAAATAGAAATTGATATAGGCGGCATGTGTAGGAAAATAGGGAGGTACTGTGAGTGCGTGCGGGTTACGGTTTGTGACCGCACCCGCTAGCACTTCCTGAAGCCGAACCCTTATTAGCAGTTCGCACCCTAACCCCTACCATACAGCACTGTGGTGTACCGGGTTTTTTTTTTACTAGTTTTTCTTTCTGTCACTCATTTTCTTCTTTTCTTTTCTACTACATATCATCTGTACTAGCTACTAGCAGGACCACCTCGCGACCGCTAGGTCTTGCTTTTGCTCCCACCTACATGTAGTACTTCCCATCTCCAATGCGAGGAGATGCTCACCCAGAGTAGCTGGCCACCTCTACCCACGCCACCTCCAACGCCACCTCTAACCAATGCCAACTCCAACATAATCCTGTTAATGTTAATATTATTTCCGGCTCTTTCCAATTTCGAATACTGTACTGAGTTCGGCACGCCAGTGCCAGTGTCATTTTTGCTGGGGTGAGCCGGTTGCTATGCAGTTTGTGCTTACTAAACCACCCCTGTTGCTCTCAGCTAATCAGTGTTCGAATTCAACAATCTTAGAAAAGTGAAAGACAGTACCGGGGGTTAAGGGTAAGTACTGAGAACCCCCCTTTGGGCTGTGAGGGCCAGCGGGGGTCTGCTATTGGTCAAGTCAAATAAAAATGACATTTGGCGGCCAAGGGGGTATTTGAATTCTCTGTGTTGCAGCTTTTGCAACGCAAGCTCCACTCCCGCTTTTCCGCTGATGCTCTTTACGAACTCCACGAAAAGCATGTTTGAAGGTTTAGGCAGAGGTCTCAGTAATCGGGACTGGTCCAAATTTTGCCTCGGACTAGACTAGACCAACTATCATCACGCTCGGACTAGACTAATTAGAGTATTTAAGCTTCGGACCGGTCCGACCACCAAGTTATACAGTCCATTATATTTCTGTCAACTATCGCATCATTCACTAAAAACCAGTTCTTTGGTATGGAAATCCTGTACTATAATATTGTCATATTAGTTTGATAGTAGAGATTGGGATATTTTGGAGCCTGTGAGGGATGTGAGGGGTGGTGTTGGGTAAATTGATTACGAGTTAATGAGGAGTAAAGCCATAAAACGCCAAAATAAGGAATATCAAAATAGGTAGTCGGACCAGTTTGATTCAAATTATGGATTGGACTGGACCGACTATTTATGAACCAGTCCGACTGTTTAACACCGCGGACTTTTGAAACCTCTGGACCGTCACCGTTTAGGGTTGCTATTAAGGTGATGGGGAGAGGAAGGGCTATCATTTGGTTATTTTCTGCATTTTTAGGTAAGAATTTGGATTTTTTGGGTGAAGATATATCAAGTGTCTTCGTTCTTTTTTCCCCAATACAACGTAAGCAACCAAGTTGATTCTGGTTGCCATAGGCGGTTTCCATAAAGTATAAAATCAACCAATTCTTCAAGGCGTCTCGGTATTTAAAGTGCACACCAAGTACATATTAGATTTTCTTGGTTTGTAGTATTTAAGCGAACCAATTGAAAGATCGAACTATCTTTTTCGGTTACTCAATTGCTTCATTCCGACTGTATTTCATTGTTTCACTAGCGGCTTTATGTGGCTTTATGCGCACCTTCTGTAAACATATAGTGATATCTGGTGGTTTATGTAATTACCGAGTAAGGATGCTGAAGATTTACGGATCGTTCGACTCGATCCATATTCATACTACACCATTCAAATGAGAAGTCATCGACGTACACTAGTATTTACAGATCTAGAGCAAGAGTGTTTGAGTAAGGTTAGGATTGATCGCTGTCCATAAAGTATTATGTGATAGGTGTCTGGAACACTACGGAGATAGGTGTTCTTGGCACATATATAGATATACTATGCCGGGTAACTAGTAGTAGGCCACCTCGCGACCGCGAGTTGTATTTTGGATTATGGGTATCAATTTCAAGTGTTCAATAATTGTGAAAGGCCTTCAATGGGGCGTCCGGCCCCGTTCAATCGTATTTTGATGTGTCGTGCTTACTAAACTGCCCCTGTCTTTCTCGACCAATCAGACTGCAAGGCCCTACAATCCAGTAGTCAAGCCGTGGATACAGAGAGTGGTAAAATTATTGCGAAAACAGGGGTAAGTGAGTGCGCTAAAAAAAGCCTAGCGAGTATCAAATTTTGAGTGGCGAGTGTGAATTTTCGACAGTATCTAACAAGAGTTCTAGCAACGAACACCCAGTTCCTCCAACGAACGCCTGCACCAACGATCCCTCGGCCCTGTTCCAGCGACGAACACCCGTTCCAGCGACAAACACCCGTTCCAGCGACGAACACCTGTTCCCGACGACGAACATCTACCTTCAAGTTACCACCTGGTATGACCCCCATTGGCAGCAAGAACTGCCTCTATCCGCTCTGGCATATTGTTGATACACCTGATGATGTCCTCCTCAGTAATAAGATCCCATTCCTCAAGTATTGCCTCTCTAATCTCTGCTCTTCCTCTAGGTCTCGGTCTTCTATCATGCAGACGCATTTTGAAAATACTCCAGATATTCTGAATTGGATTGAGATCAGGAGATGAGGCAGGCCAATTAAGAAACGGCATTCCAAATTGATTTCTGATATTCTGTGGATAATTAGTAAATGAATAACAGGAGAAAAAAAATTACTTACTTGAATTGATCTTGCTCTGTGGGCTGGTGCACCGTCCTCCATCAACCAGAGAGTCCGTCCATTTCTTTGACTCTCCTCGAGTCAAAAGAGTTGCAGCTGAGGGATTAAAATATGATTGCAGTAGGTGTTGGCGGTGATAGATCCCCAGTCATCTCTCTCCCATATAACAATAATCTTCTTACCACCCTCTCCTAGAATAGTCCCCCATATCATAATTGAATCTTGCTTTGCAAATTTAGGTGAAATGCAATCATCGATCCACTCCTCCTCTCCTGTTCTTGTAACATATAGCCTCCTAAGGGAACTTCCCAGCCATAGATAGCACTCATCCGTCCATACTACCTTTTTCCAATCTTCTGCAGTCCAGTTACGATGTTCCAGAGCAAATTTGGGACGTCCGTTTCTTTGAGTCTGGTTGAGAAAGAGCTTCTTTCGTGCCACACGTTGATGATAGCCTTCTTTTGCAAAAGCTTCACGGAGAGTTTTGGCAGATACCTGAATACCAATCTCTTGGGCAATATCTGACAAAGGTTTCCTCCTAGATTCAGCAGTAGAGATGGCTTCAAAAACCAACATACGACGGGTAGGTGTATCAATTATTACATCACGGCCGCATCTTCCTTCTCTCTGTGGCGTAGCAGGTGAGTTGCAAATTCCATACACTGTCGAGACTGCTAGGCCTTGATCATTAGCAATCCGCTGAAATGTCCAACCTGCATGCCGAAGAGCTTGGACATAACATCTCTTTCTGTAGCTGACATCTTCTGTACGAATAGACACCATATCGAACAGCTGAGGGAATCGATACAGGCAAGAAGATATACTATAACACGATAAAAATCTTTTTCACTCTGTGAACCATTGAGGTCCTCTACCTGCCAATCACAGCACTCGCTACCTTCCGGCCCCACAGCACTCGCTAAACCCCTGTTTTCGCAATAATTTTACCACCCTCTGTACAGTCTATCGGGGGAGATAAGCCAATTGACCAGTCAAGTCAAAAATATTCTCCGATAAACTAGATTATCCCTGAATTGACTGTGTCCCTGGATTGACGGCCAAGTCAGGAAGATCGCCAAATATCTAACGTATCCCTAAGCTAACCAACATTGTTCTCAACCTTTTGGTACTGGAACACGAGCGGCGAACAACCTTGCCTTTCAACCCTTGACATACCGTCTCTGAGATACGATTTGAGATTTGTCGGGTACACCTCCCAATCTGGTCGGGTATATACTAGTCAATATTATGGTATTCCTGAATTGACCATCAGCCCAGGAAGACAGTCAATCTGGGGATAATCCAGTTTATCGGAGAATATTCTTGACTTGACCGGTCAACTGCCTTATCTCCCCCGATAAGCCGAATCTTCAGGTTGACTAGATCACAGCTGCTAGTCTCAATCCGACTTGCAAATGCTCGAGCTTTTCAGTGGCCCAGATATTTGCTCTTCAAGTGATTCTTGATATATATCGATCTCTTTATTGGACATACAATTTGATCTCTTTGTATACTTAGTAATTATTAGAATATGTGTTCCTAGGATTAGTGTTTCCTACTCCCACATTTTATAAAATCAATTACCAAGGGTGTTGTCTGCGTTTTTAGTACGATTCAAATAACACCCCCAAAGCTCGCGCTTTCAACTCGACTCGTGAAGGTGGCTACTCTTTGCTGCTCGAGCTTTGGGCTCGAGTCGAGGACTCGAGTTAATTCGTCTCGTCGACCACTATTTCTCACTGGTGAAAACCTATGAATCGATGGGTGGTGTTTCCGGAACGGTTGCCCGTCCTCATACCCTGAAAGAGGATCGTGGAATACAGGTAATCCCATGACGAGAGTCAGATCACAAGTTGAAATAGTCTTACACAAATACAATCCGTACCGTCCGTGCTTTTTTCAATCATCTAGTCCCGTCTGAAGCCATTTTCCGTACTGGTAAGTTCCATTTCAACCTCTGGAATGTCAAAGGAAGGGACAGGGATCGAAGGAGGTGACTGGTATCGGGGAGAAGGGAGTATGTGGTGACTACTCGAAGAATCCACATCTATTATCAATTATTCATAGGAATGTTAGTTAGGTGGAAGAAATATCATCAGACTGAGGCTGCATCTCCTCCTCTATTCCCGCGAATCACGGCCTCTTAGTGTGGAAACAGCGTCGAGGTCAATAAGAATCTAACGACGATTGTATAAAGCCCTCCTCGACTGAGGATTTTTACGTACGGGCGGAGATAGTTTTGCACCGCCGACAGCCGCTTCCAGCCAGTCTGTGAATTTTGTGTGATGAGCCACAAATTCCTACAAGTGGCAAGTCTTGAACTCAGACGAAGGGATGTTAGCACTGTCTAGTCGGCCCTCTTACTACCATGGGCTGTTGAGGAAAGAACATACATTTAGTCTTCTCGGACCGCCGCATAATATCAATCACGGAAAGTTTTCCTTGGCAAATACGAACAACATCAGTAATCCATGAAATAAAGCCCCATGCAGCATACTAACTCCAATCAAAACACCAACCAGGAGCTTAAACTCCCATGCTTGAAAGTCAAAAATCAACATCGCCGGCGTGAGTGTGTTCGAGCGATACTTGGTGATTGATGATTAGGCGGGCGGTAGAGACGGGCAAGGTGGTCGTGGTGGTAGTGGGTGGTGTTGAGTTGGCGATGATGTTGGTATTTAACTGGTGGTGGGGTAGACTGACGAGCGAGGTGGGCCAGAGGGTTAGCATTGAGATGTGGAAGGAGTAGGAATGGGGATTACATAGCTTTTCGGCAAATGCCTAAAATCCATACCGGAAGATCGTTGTGTTCTACGCAACATATATCTCGGAATGAACCCGTCTACCCAAGATGTTGGGTATTCTGTTAAGTACCAGTTATGATTACAAGCTTTTAAGAATAGATAGAGGCAGAAGAGGAGGTCTACCTGTACTCTCCTTTTATGACAAGCCTGTCCGCAGTGCCGGTAATGCGGAAGGGCTATAAATAACTACATGTAGCAGCAAGAATACAGTCAGTATTGGGTCTCACTTATCAGGCTTCAGAACTTTTGGAGTGACCTTAGCATTGACCAACGACCCATAACCTCCGTTAACTCCCAAGGAACACGAAAAGTTGACTGTTGTGAGTGTACCTTCATCGGCCAGGCCAAATTAGTATCTATCAGGTTAATCACCTATGGAATTCATGATACTAAAAACCGTATACGTAGGAATCAATAAGTCCGTACATTCATTCGCATCTGATAAGATTTTGATAGCGTATTAGTGAGGGGATCATATATCTGATTTTAGGAGTATCTTCTAGATATCTATTACCCCTGACTTCTCAGGCTAACTTGACAGATACTAATTGGGCCTGACCGTTGAGGGGATAGCTATCAAAATATTCTTGCGTTGAGTTGATGAAAAAGAAGTGGCGGCGGGCAATTAGATATGGCGGAACCGGTACATGTGCTTGGTGGCCTCTGCTAATTGATTTTACATGCTCATTTCCGCTAGAAGTATGTGCGCCATTCTAAGATATAGGTTTCTATGCAACAGGACGAACCAGCGGTGCGGCATCTTAGACTTTTATCTTACTTGATATCTTCTGGTGGTGTAGGGTCAGTGGCCGGTGGGCCACAATTCATGATGCAATCAATAAAATCAGTCAACTAGGTGGTGGGTCATGGATTCTCACTCGGTCCGGAGGAGTTCCCCCGGTCTCTAGGGGCCATCTAGAGTTTGTGCGAAATTCTTTATTCTACGTTTGGTGAGCTCTTGGCTGCCTTAGATCCCTTTCCGTTACGACCAACCTTCATATTTCGAGAGCTCTCATTCCATAGAGGCGCGGTAGGGCTAGGGCTGTGCATGTGCGGTTTAGGTTCGGATCCTCAAATCTAGTTTCTTGTAGGAGGCTTGTGGATTTTTGGATATAGCGGTATAGCGGCGAATGACTGTCTTTTTCTCTTTTGATAATGTTGCGATGGACCTGGCCTCGTGACATTATCGTGACGCTGAGTGCAAGGTCCCGTTTTGAGACTTTTAGCGGTGAAAAGACCTACTTAGCTAGCTATGTAGCTTCAAGCCCTTGTTTATAAACGAGCTCGAGACTTCTCTTGTCCCCCGCATAGAAGCCAATTCCTACAGAATTCCTTTCTCGGACGACCTGTATTGTCATTGAAGTTATTAGCCACTGCCACACAATCGCCAAGCCCAGCACCAATGCGGCTCAAATCCGATGACGACATCAGTGCACACGGTCAACAAACCCCGCCCGGCCTCTCTCAAACCAATCACCGCCGCTATCACCAAAACTCACGCCCGTCGGCACCTCTTCTCCTCCGCTCAGAGCTATTGAAATGTCTCGAGCACCCTCATCGCGCCCGTAAAGTGGAGTACACGCTGCACACTGAGGTCCTCTTCGGACACCTCTTCTACTAGCGCTAGTGGCGCTCGCTCGACGAGCTGCCGCCAATCGCAAGAGCCGCGTATGCCTAGCGGTGGAGGTTCGTTGTCGTGCTAAATCTGAAGGCGGGAGACAAGGCATGTAAAGCACGCAAGTAGGGATAGCAATACCGCCTGCAAGAGGAAGACTGACAACAAGAACAGCACGTACAGCAACAGAGGGAGAGATAAGCCTCCGCCGGCATCAAGCGTACTAGATGAACTGGTCCTAGTCACTTGCTTTACGCTGAGACCCTTGAAAGGCCCCCCAGTCAGTAAGACATCGCATGGTGTCTTGCTCACGGAGGTGTGCTCATCCCACCGCCGCGCTAGAGCCTGCTGAGGTTTGTATGGGGGATATTGGATTGAGCGGTATCCGGAGGAGCTGCGCGGGCAGGAGTTTGATGTAGGCTGTATGTGGTCTGAGCCTTTTGGTGGATTTCTTTTCGTCCGAGACAGGCGCTCGGCGAAAGGCTGTGGGGTTGGAGGTCGTGGGGCAGATATCATCGGAAAATTGGAGAGGGAGTTGGAGTTTTTTTTTTTTTTTTTTTTTGGGTTTGGGGGGGGGGTGTGTGGGTGGAGAGAACACCGGGAGTAATAATATCTATATCCCGGAGCACAGGGAGTCACAGCCCAAATGGCTTGTGGTATTGCGTTGAAGAGGATGTTCTCTTCAAAGACGGTTTGGTGAGCCCCTTCTACCGGTATCATACCCTGTTATATGTATTCTCTTGGCTCTAATTTTCTTCCCATCGTTGATATCCTGCCTGTGCTGAATTTAATGTAGGTTCTGTACCGTTAGCTACCACCGGTCTCCCCGATCAGGCTTTTTAACGGGCGGCCACATACGGGCCGGACCGGTCCAAGTATACGGGCGGTGGGATGGGCTTGGAGTTTTCTCTGCTGAGCCGGGCCGGTCCAGAGGGCTTTTTGGACCGGTCAAGGAGAATAATATATGGGCCAGTTTATGACTAGATTTCTCCACCCAATGTGAGAAGAAAAAAGGTAAACCCTTGACACAACAGTTTTATAATGCCCTTTTACCTCTTTCGACCTCAATATTTACCTCTGGGGGGCCCATATATTTATGTTTCTATGGCCGGTACTCATGCTATATAGGCCAGTCAGTCCGGACCCACACTTTGGTGCGTTGGGCCGGGCCGGGCCAAGGTCAAATATGGACCGGTCAAGCCCATTAAAAAGCCTGTCTTCGATTGATGTTTCTTGAGCTCCTTTGACATGTATTAATATATCATGGTCGGTTCTTCTTTGCTCTCTTCACTCTATTTTACCTCTCTTTCTAATATAATGATTGTTGCCTCCAGGCTATATAGTGAATGACCTATTCACCAATCAATCAATCGATATTCGGATTGTTCTGAGATCTCTAGGACAGGATCTCTCATGCTAGCTGGTACTAGTTATACAGCACGGACGTCTTCGGAGGAACGTTACGGTATCATTTTGTTCGCTACTACTTGCAATAAGCTCCATCCACTGTCCCCGTGACCTCAACAGGCAGCCCACAGCACCCACCCACAACTACGATCACAATCAAACCCCCGACAACAAAGCAACATATTCCGAGTGCACCGCCATGATTCAACCTCAAGTCAGTAGTGTAGGTCGCCCCCATCAACTCTTGAGAACACATGAGACTAATGATTACCTCGCCTGTGGAAGGTCTTGAACAGGTAACTCACTTAATCAGGTTCTTGCAGTGGGCGGAACTTCGAAGGGTATTTCGGGAGCTCGTGGAGAGGGTGACATAAGGATGGTATTAGAATGTTGTTTCACGCTTATGGATGCCCTTAACCTCGCTTCCTTCAGGAAAATATCTGGTCTTTGGTATGTATGACTTGTTATTCCGCATTTGTACTCGTACCATCATGCAGCTTGGTGGCTGGATGCGGAATTGGCGCATTCCGATAACTATTGACCGCTCATGCTATCTTGTTCTGCGTGTAGCTGCGGTTCGTTGAAAGACGAAATATTGTGACCTGATTGCAACGGAAGAGGTATTGTCTGAGTGAGAGAGGATTGATACAAGAGATAATCATTGATAGTCAACGTAATCAATATATGTATTGATAAAAACGTGTGTTCTTGAAGTTAAACTGGATATAGCCCATTATAATTGGTTATGTGCTCGTTAAGTTAATTGGTTAGACATGCCTGTTTGGTTTCAAAATGTGATCTGATTACGCACCAACTCCATATACAGCCATCCTACAAGGTGTGAGTGGTTCGCACTTTGGGGGTGAAATACCCAACATGTTGTAATAGACTAATCGTGATTTGTATGCTCCCATGAAACGTGGAAGAAAGCGCCTGTAAAGAGTGAAGCCGTGACGGTCTGTAAACTATGAAGAAGCTACGCCTGCAACTAACCCAGACAAGACATCTCGATGGGTACACCCGGGTATCAAAAGAGTCTGTACCCACCTGACCCACCCTCAGAATAGTTGTACCCAATCCGGCCCAACCCGGCCCGACCCAAGGATCTTTTACCCGGGTAAGCCCACCTCTTCTATGGGTATAAATCTGGAGGTTTCCTATTCCTTCCATGTAATTTCGGAGATATTTGAGAATTACCTTGGTGGGGATTTGAAATATATTATTTTTTTTCAGTGATGAAGTGCCTGTTTCTCACCCATCAAATAGCTGGGTATACCCAGGTCAAAATATAAGTCATACCCAGCCCGGCCTGCTGAAAAAGAGGCCGTACCCAACCTATACCCGCCGGGTACTACCCGGGTCATTCCCGGGTTGGATGCCACTCATTGAAATGTCTGAACCCAGCGTTAAGCCAACAAAGCTCGTGAGATCCAGCTTCTAAGCCAAATTCTGGAATATGGTAGGTGCGAGAGGAGGTGACACGAGACGTTTCAATGCTCGTCTCGTCTTCAATAGTTAAACCAAGTTTTGAAAGTCGCAAGACGATGGTCTAGTCTAGCCTGTGCCACGATTTGACTTGATTCGATTTTGAGCCCTAAATTGAATCAAATCATTCAACTCTGACCTCAAATCGTAATCATGAGTTCATTTGGATTATTAGTCGCAAGAAATCGATTTAAATCGAAATCGTATATCAATAGAAATTATGTGGTAAAAAGCCTTTTAGAGGGCTCTTCTCCCTGCGGTACAACAATTAGAAAGATAACTTATAGGATTTAGAGGATAAAAATTGCTTAATAGTATATACAGTACTTTGGGATCGGAACGAGTATTTCTATAAGTCTGATAACTAGACGAAACGCCTTGTTTAAGCCTTATGTATCAAATGAGGCAAAATTTACCCTTTTCTGGGCATAATCATGACCGTTGCTCAGGCTTTTGCATACATCTGGCTTTTTTAAGACCTTTTCTGGCACTAAGGCTCCCAGATGGCTGAAGATTAGAGAAATCTGTAAGGGAATGAGAGTTCAACTTGAAGCTACTTTACCACCGGGACCTGATATTGGGCTTATATGGGATTAAAACCTTATTGCGATTTAAGTTCCCTCCAACTCTATCATTTTAAGGCCTTAATAAAACGAAGGGTGATGATATATGATAAGACTTAATTTTATATTATCTTATAAGTATATAGATATACCGATATGCAATGTGTTATTTAAAGGTTTTGATTGGCCAGGTACCAGATTGCTTTTGCTTGGTAGTTTGATTAGTAATATTTTGATAATATTATTTTTTGTTGATATAAGAAGCAAATCGGGGACCAGATTTTTCTTTCTGTATTGATGTAATTGGCGATTCGGGGACCTTGCTTTTTCTTTCTATTGATTCCGGGAACATTGTTTTTTCCCTATATTGAATTCGGAGACATTGCTTTTTCCCTCTATTGATGTTAGTGGCGATTCGGAAATCTTATTTTTCCCATCTATTCATGATGTTAGTGAAGATTCAGGGATCTTACTTTTTCCTTCCATTGAATTCCAGGACATTGCTTTTTCCCTCTAATGATGTTAGTGACGATTCGGTTTCTTGTATTGATTAGTTAACACACTGGGTTACGAGGAGTTGTATTGATTAGAAAGGTTCTATTGCATTTAATCGTGTTCTATTGTTCGGAAGGGTATGAGTCACTCTGAATTTATCATCGCTGGGATTTCTTTGGGTATATTAGGCGGTTCCATCCTCGTTTCTGTTTTCTTTCTCTTCTTTTTTCATAATACGCAAAATCTTCCATACCTACGCTGTCTATAGTTATATAATAACATTTTCTCCTCTTTACTCAATAAACCCACCATGCTGCTGCTTCTTTTGTCCCGTTGGCCCTTACCAATGCTACAGTTCCTCAGGATCCCTATCGCAGGCTTCCCCACCGACCTCTACTACCTCCTTCGTACCCTGCGAAATACTGGCTACTGGCTCCCTTGAGATTACGTTGTATCCTCATCCGCACCGTACGACATATCCACCCTCAATCCACCTACATGGGTCCTAGCCAACAATATAGAGGAATTCAAGCAGAAGTATAAGGTCGAGGCTACTGTCTTATTTAACCACAACGCCATCCTCACCCAACGTATCAGCCACGAGAGGGATACCACTCATACTCAGCTCGCCGCCACCCATGAAACCATCGACAACCTTGAAGAGCAGCTAATCCAGCTCAACCTCGACCTCAATATCGCTCGCGCCGCCTCCACCTTCACCGTCTCTGTCCCCATTGTCGCTGCTCCCCCACCTAGTACCGTCTCCACCTTCAGGTCCAAAAAGTTCCCAGAACATGAAAAATTCGATGGCACCCATACCAAGCTCTCTGGCTTTATCATCTAACTCTGAATGAAACTTGAGGTCAACGACGATCGATTCAGCAACGAGGCAGCAAATGTTATCTATGCCGTTAGCCGCTTGGAAGGAAGGGACCTTGATCAAGGCGTTCCACTCATTAACACTGATCCTGCTGTCCCCTTCTCCTCTATCACTGCCTTCGTTGCCCACCTGGAAGCCTCGTTTGGAGACCCAGATCTCCGGAGTACCACCCGTCACCAACTCGTCGCCCTGAAGGAAGGCAAAGGAGACTTCGCCACATATTACTCTGTTTGGGGAAATGCCAATGCTAAGCGATAGTTCTGTAGCTTTTAAACTTGTAATATTGTAAACCGGACTCCGCTCGCTGAGTGACTGATGATGCCACTAAGACGAGGCAGAACCCTCCCTATTTATACATATTGGAACCTATGCCAAGGCCCGCTTTCTAATACTAAAGAGATAACGATAATAGAATAAAGTAATCAACCCGAAGATAACCCCAATAGAAAAGCGCCCCCGCATAGTTCCGTTCCTCCATTCTAATTCCGACACGTAACCATGAACCCTGCAATTGCCAGTAACCGAGCTGTATCGTACTATTGTCCCAGAGCTACTTCCCTAAGTAGAACGGCCTGCAGCCGTAAGCCCCGCTTCTATTCCATTCCGGGCGAGACGCCCAATAGTAAGCGTGCCCTCACCATAGCCTAATACTAGTGTGGTTGCACCCGGTGCCCCCACACCCCTCGGTACCTTTCTATGCTTGTTCCTTCGTTACCCGACCGTACTCGCATCACAACCCATCACTCGTATTATCCTTGTTCCTTGACTTAGGAGCATTGTTCGTGTTTCCTGTAACACTACTCCCCCTTCCTAGACGTCGCCCTCGACCGTTAAAACCTCTCTATGATAAAAACCCTGTGGGAAAAGTCATAGAGTAGGAAAGGTATCGAGCTAGTCTTCCCTAGTCCGTTGTCGTTTCGGAGGCCGACTCGAGTCGATGACTGGCCCTTGACTCCGTGTATGGGGCCGAGTATTCATGGTTGGTTTGAAGTTCTCATCTAAGAGTGCCTCTTGAGGGTCGGGTGTTGCGAGTCGTTTTCGTGTGTTCTGTTGCCTGCCCGTGTTGGGATCCTCTCGATAAGGTCTCAGCAACATCTCGTGGAATACGTCATGAACCTTCCATTCTGCCGGAAGATTCAATCTATAAGCCCTATTTCCTACAGCCGCAGCGACCTCGAAGGGGCCTGTAAACTTGTCCGACCATTTATTGTAACCGCCGAGGTTCCGAGTATCCAGCAAGACCTTTTGACCGATTGTGAACCGCTGAACGGCTGGCCCTGGCCTTGACGCCATCCTGTCAAAGGTCTTCTGCAGCGTGTCTCTCGCTGATTCATGGGCTAGGAGAAGGTCTTCCAGGTAGGTGCTTCCCTTAGCATCCAGCTGTCCGATTTTCGCATCCGTTGGCCAATCTGTTCGTGGGTGGAACCCATAGTTACAGTAGAACGGCGATTGTCCTGTCGACGAGTGTTTCGCATTATTATATGCATACTCGCAAATCGGTAGTAGGTCCTTCCATTTCTTTCCTGTTCCGGCGGTGTAGGCCCGGATGTAGGATTCGAGGTGCTGGTTGGTCTTTTCTGTTTGTCCATCCGTCTGTCGGTGGAACGAGGTCGAGAGTCTTCTACGAATCCCTAGTCGTTCTGTGACCGCAGCCCAAAATGCCGATACGAACTGTGTTCCTCTGTCAGAGACAATGCTCCTAGGAAGTCCGTGAAAGCGCCAAATGTCCTTGACAAAGGCGTTAGCGGTCTGTTCCGCGTTGATTCCCGTCATTGGAATGAAGTGAGCCATTTTCGTAAAACGGTCCACGACTACCAATACGTTACGGAATCCTGATTTCTCCTTTGGCATTTCTACTACGAAATCCATTGAGATATCAGTCCAAGGTGTGGTGGCTAACTCTAGGGGTTGAGGGAGTGACAAGTGTCTCCGACGTTGCTTGGCTCTCTGACACACATCGCAAGTCTTGACGAAATTGGCTACATCTGTGGACATTCCTGGCCACCAGTAGTTCCTATCGATCAACTCGAGGGTTTTATCCCTTCCTAGATGCCCCGCTACGGGTCTGTCATGATGATCTTCAATGACTTGTCTGACCGCGTATCCTGGCACTACCCAACGACCATCGTGGGTGGCCTCATTCGATCCCGGGGTCCATTCAGTGGCAAGCTCCGTTATTACGGCATCAGCTTCCTCTGTCCCGAAGACTTCAAGGTTTGCATCAGGGAGAGGTTCATCCCGGAACACTCTCCGAACCCATTGTCTGTCCTGTTCATACCAGTCTTGTAGTGGCTGAGGCAGCTCAGTACCTGGTATGTCGTACCACTGATCCAACGGAGTCCATTCTTCTTCGGGGTTGCCAATGATTTCAAGGCCAGTTTCTACGCTGGTCCGTGATTTTCTGACAAATTGTTCTGCGCTGAGCAACTGTTTTACGGGTTGTTCACGCATTACTCCCCCTTCCATAGCGAACTCTGGGCGCCTTGTAAGTGCATCTGGCTTGCCATTCTTTTCGCCTGGTCGGTAATGAATCCTGAAGCGAAAAGGTGCTATCTTTTCAGCCCATCTGGCTTGTCTTCTCGACAACTTCTTGGTCGTTGTGAAGTACTGTAGGTTCTGGTGATCCGAATGTATCTGGATAGGAATATCCGTTCCTTCCAGCCAATGTCTCCAAGTCAGGAGAGCAGAAACTATAGCGAGCATCTCCTTGTCATAGATCTCGTAGTTTACCTCTGCCTCGTTAAACTTGCGAGAGTGGTAAGCTACCGGGTGTAGAATACCGTCCTCGAACACCTGAGAGAGTACTGCGGCCTCAGCCCAGTCACTCGCGTCAGTTTCTATGATCGCTTCACGGTGTTCGTCGTAGTGTCCTAGTATTGGAGCAGACGTAAACCTCTCCTTGAGTTCGTCGAAAGCGCTTTGTTGTTCACTGCTCTATCGCCATACGGAACCTTTCTTCAAGAGATCGGTCATTGGTCGGCAAACTTCGGAGTACCTGTGGATGAACCGTCGTAGGAAGTTGGCAAATCCGAGGAAACATTGAAGTTCCTTGACCTTGGTGGGTGGTAACCATTCCGTGATTGCCTTCACCTTTTTAGGCGAGACCTGGTTCCCTTTTCCTGTTTGTACCATTCCGTTTTCTCGAGGTTCCCGTATAGATGGTTTTGTTGCAGTCGCTCCAATATCTTCCTCACCAGAGTCGTGTGCTCTTCCTTAGTCTTTGAATATATTAGAATATCATCCAAGTAGACTACTACGCCTTGATCTAGAAGATCCTTGAATATGGTATTGACCATGACCTGGAACGACGCCGGTGCATTGGTTAAGCCAAAAGGCATGACCCTATATTCGAAGTGGCCGTACTTCGTTCTGAAAGCTGTTTTCCATTCCTCGCCAGCAGCAATCCTAATCAAGTTATAGCCATTTTTCAGGTCTATCTTGGTGAAGAACTCTGCTCCTTTCATCGAATCGGCCAACTCTGTCATGAGGGGAAGGGGGTAGCGATTCTTGACCGTGATAGCATTTAAGCCACGAAAGTCTACGCATAACCTCAGTTTTCCATTGGCTTTCTTCACGAACAGGATCGGTGCTGCTGCCGGGCTGGTGGAGGGGACTATTTTGCCAGAGGCTAGCATTTCGTCCAAGTACTCCTGGAGTGCCTTTTGTTCCACTGGGGAGAGCGCTTATATCGGTCCCCGTGGAGGCTGCTTTCCTTCCATAAGGGGAATGGTATGGTCCCATTCAGAGTGATCAGGTAGTCGATCGGCTCCCTCCTTAGAGAAGACGTCGACGAAGTCCTGGTACTCCATCGGTATAGCACTAGCGAGAGCCTCGCCTACCAATGCCCTTGCCCAGAAGGGGTGTTGCTCGATCATCATCTGTGTCTCGGGTGACGTCCTCAACAGCCTGATGACCAGCTCTTCTGGGTCTTCTTCGTATATATCATACATGGTCCTGAAGCATCCCTTCACTTGACAATTGATGTTGTCGAAGGTGACCTTGTTCTGGCCCCAATGTATGGTAGGTTGATGCTCCTTGAGCCATCGATGTGGTATGACGAGGTCTTCTCCTGCGAATGAGCCAACCTCACAGACGATGTCTCTGTCTAGATGGTTGTCGACGCGGAGGGTAAGAGATTTGGTGATGTGAGTGCCGGAGTTAGGCATCGGGGTGCCGTCAGCCTGTCTGATGATGAGGGGCTTGGGTCGAGGTTGAGTTGGGATTTTTAGACGATGGACACAGTTCCAGGACATAACCCAGTCCTCTGTTCCGCTGTCTAGGAGTGCGTTGACTATTTCTGCATGTTGGGTACTAGTTGCGGGGTGGTTCCAAGAGATCTCAATCTCAAGGCGGGTTTATTGGTGATGTAAAGACATGTTCGTATGTTTTTAAAAGGTGTAAGGTAAGATAGATTGTTCTTGGGTATGAGTGGGTTGATGTTGATAGTTCTTGTTCTGAGCGCGGGGCGAGGGAGTTTTATATAGAAAATTCGAGCATTGATAAAGATCATAGTACAACACTTACGCACCAGGCGTTTCGGAATGTGACCCCGCTTCTCGAGTGTGTGTAAAGAGAATTTAAATTGCGCAAAATAACAACCGATAGAACATAACACAACCCGATCCCTTAGAAAAGTCTTCTTTTCAAAACAGAATAGAAAAGCTGTAACACAACATAGAATGAAACACCGCAAAATAGAAATACCCAATCAATTTAGTCCTCCAAATTCGTAATCCTTGCCCCAAATGCCTCATTTTGTGGCCCCAATTTTCGTTTCTTATCACCCTCCCTTCCGTGGTCCTTTCTCCCGGAAGGATGCTCTCTTCTCTTCAGGTTCGTTAACCTGACCTTACTCGTCGCCACGCAATCCTTTACGAAGTGGTTATCTCTACTACAACGGAAACACTTTCCTTCCTTCTGCCATTTCTCCTTCTCTTCCTTGGTAACACCTAAGTCATCCGAGGTCTTGGAGTTGTTGGCTGATGCGGGGAAAGTTTTCCGAGGATTTGCATTGTTGCGCGATTTCCGCCGTTCCGTTTTTTCCTCGCGAGGTTTCACAGTGTCTTTACCTCGCAGGATTTCTTTCCGAGCCTTCACCTCGTGGTCCTTGCGTCCAACTTTTCGTACCCAGGCTAACCAGTCCACGAAATCAGTAGGTTCCTCAATCGCATTGGAGAGCCGTTGTTCCAGCAAGGAGTTTATTCCTGTTAGGATCATGGATCTCATGACAACTGGTCCAACTCGTGCGTCCCATTCTAAGTTCTGCATTTCATTAATGTAGTCGTCGATTGGGCCAGTTTGCCGGAGTCTATCCATTTTTTGCTTGGCCTGTTCCTGACTCGTGCGGTTGCCGTATTGGGTGCGGAGTTCTTGCTTGAACCGTTCCCAGGTTCCGATGCTGCTATCCACAGCTAACCTCTCCGTAAAATTCCGCCAAAAGTTCGCCGCACTACCGGTAAACTCGAGGGATGCCCACATAATCTTAGTGCCGTTATCCCATTGGACCTTCTTCTAGAGACTGATTAGAATTTCCATCTAATCGATCCAGAGTCTTACGTCCTAATCGGCTTTTCCGGAGAAGGGAATGTTGGCCTTTTTGGGTGCATCACCTACGGTGGCGCGAGGGGGGTGCGAGAGTTCTTGCTCTCGTTGGCGCCTCCTTTCGTATCCTCGTTTCTTACGTTCCAGCCGCTTGCGGCGTTCGCCTTCTGAATCTGAGGAATCCGATGGGGATGATCCTGGTGCTCCCGGGTCGTTACCTCCCTTATTGCCATTCCCGTTACCCCCGCCTTGTGCTCCTTGACCTCCTTGCTTCCCTTGTTGGCTGCTATGCTTAGGGTTGCTTCTTGGTGCTAGGCTTTGGTCTTCGTGTTCTTCACTGGATTCGGAACCAGCTGGAGGGGCGACTGGTGGGTTTTTCGGGGGTGGTTGGGGAGGTGGGCCTGATCCGCCGCCACCTGTCTTTGGGGCCAGTGGTTGTTCCGCAGCCGTTTTACGGGCTGTCTCCTTCATCTGCTCTATCATTTCTTCTAGAGCCGTCCTTGTTCCAGAGAACCCATCTACCAAGGAGACCTGCTGCTGCATGGTCCTCTCCAATTGTACCAGTGTAGCTGCTACGCCGTCTGGGACTTGGGCTGGGCCTTCCTTCGGCAGCCTTTGAATCCAGTCAGCCAGCATAGTTATGTGCTGGGCCTGCTCTTCCTGCCGCTGTTGGTGGGCCTTAGTGGTATTGGCGATCTGTTCCAAGACTTGGCCGAGGTTCGTAGTGGTTGCGGCTGTCTCTGCCCGCACTTGCGCGAGGATGTACCCATCTCGGCGTTCCCGTTCTTCTTGGTCCTGGTTGAACTTCATCTGCAATTCGCGGATGAGTTTGGTCTGCTCTTCGTGCTGCTGGGTAAGCTGCGCCGCGTGCTGCCGAGTAATTTCCCTGATTGCGGGCAGGTCTTGGACGCTCACAGTGAGGTCTCCAAGTCCGCGGCTCAGCTGCTGAACCACTGGGGCTCCTCTCCGTTCGATTTCCTGCCCGATGATTTCTCCAAAGGGGTGCTCGATACGGCGTTCCTCTACGTCCATATCCGTATCCTCGTCTTCGTCCGTTACCCTAGGGACCGAGGGTCTCGGAATAGAAGACCTCTCTCTGATTGGCGTTTTGTACGGGGAATAGTCTCGATAGTCCCCTTGCCTGCGGGAGCGGGGTTGGCCATAGGATGCGGCCGGCTGAGTCGATCTGAAGAGGTCGCTGATCGGCATGTCCAGATCCCTCCTGTGGCGCTGTCTCACCTGGGTCTCGACTATACCTCGATCTCTCACGGTGATCGAGCTCTCCATGTTGTAGTCTTCCTCCATTTGTTGCTGATGACCCCTTGACATCGCTAAGTTGCTCGATTCTGAGTTGTGGCTGTCTTCTGCACCAGGGTTGAACGACGAACCAAGGGACGGAGTGAGCTAATCCGTGGGATTGCTGACTGAGGGTGACTTTAATGGGGAACAGTTCGGGATAGTTGAGGATCTCCGGGTCGTGTTCTTCGAACGTGCAAGTAGTACCTGCTTCGGCAAAAAACCCGGCGTACTCAAGGTATCCGCAATAGAGGTGTTCGGCACTGCCTCTGCGAACGACAAAAGAGGTGGTGCAAGTAAAGTTGTTGATAGCTGCTGTTGCTACTCGGGGATGCATACGGTATCAAAGAGTCCTCCTAATAGACTACTTTCTTATTCTTTTACTTGAGCGCACGGTGACTATCCGCCACAAACAAAATACTCTCAAGTATTGGTCTAAGCAAGTAGTTGTCTTATCGGGACGTTGATAATATGCGATCGATAAAATAATAGCGTAGTGGATAAGGTACAATATAGTGTTTGGGGAAATGCCAATGCTAAGCGATAGTTCTGTAGCTTTTAAACTTGTAATATTGTAAACCGGATTCCGCTCGCTGAGTGACTGATGATGCCACTAAGACGAGGCAGAACCCTCCCTATTTATACATATTGGAACCTATGCCAAGGCCCGCTTTCTAATACTAAAGAGATAACGATAATAGAATAAAGTAATCAACCCGAAGATAACCCCAATAGAAAAGCGCCCCCGCATAGTTCCGTTCCTCCATTCTAATTCCGACACGTAACCATGAACCCTGCAATTGCCAGTAACCGAGCTGTATCGTACTATTGTCCCAGAGCTACTTCCCTAAGTAGAACGGCCTGCAGCCGTAAGCCCCGCTTCTATTCCATTCCGGGCGAGACGCCCAATAGTAAGCGTGCCCTCACCATAGCCTAATACTAGTGTGGTTGCACCCGGTGCCCCCACACCCCTCGGTACCTTTCTATGCTTGTTCCTTCATTACCCGACCGTACTCGCATCACAACCCATCACTCGTATTATCCTTGTTCCTTGACTTAGGAGCATTGTTCGTGTTTCCTGTAACATACTCACAATTCCTTCGTATCATGGCCTACCAAGACTACTAAGAAGGGGTCAACATCGACGCCCTAGCCGAAGGACTATCAGAAGACCTGAAGGATGCCATGACATACTGGACAGACAGGCCTAACACCATAGAGGCATACGCGAATATCTTAATAACAATTCACAACCAGATTCGGAGCGCTAAGGCCGAAAAACTGGCCATCTGTAACACGATAGGACAATTCACTGCCCCCGCTGCTGCCGGACCCACATCCCACACTGCTGGAGGTCTCGCCCCAATGGACCTCTCCGCCCTCCAAACCAGCCCCACTCAATGCCCTAGCACCGTACAACGATAGATATTCATCAATGGACAACGCAACACCTCCGCCACTGAAAAACAATGGCGAAGGGACAACAACTTCTGCATGTACTGCGCCAACCCTGGCTATTCTTTCACCAACTGCCCCTCTGCCACTCGCTCACATGGCAACCGAACGGTCATACGGGGTGCTCTCCTCGCACACGCTCATTATGCCCCCTACCTTGCTGTCTCGCTGATCGCTAGTTCTGCCTCCTCTGAATAGGGTTTTCAGTAGTTCCGGACTTGATCAATAGCCCCTGTCCGGAACCTCCTAATGTTTCTCCTTTGTCTGTGTTCTCTATCTCTGGCTTCTCGATGTCATATGTGGAGGATAAATTGTATGGGGATTATTTTGTTGCTTCTTGTAAAATTGTAAACAATAAAATATAGATTCAAACTAATGCATTGATTGATACCGGTTGCTCTGAGTTCGAATTAATTGATGAAACATTTGCGTGCCATCACAACCTTCCATTTCTCTACCTCAAATTACCCCGCACTCTTGAAGTCATCGACGGATGGCCCATATCCTCCGGACAGATCACCCACATGTACTGCGCACCACTGTCAATCGACTCCCATTATGCAACGATCTCCTTCTTCATCATCAAACTTGGTTCCTACCCGCTGGTACTCGAGATCCCTCGTCTGCAACTACACGATGCCCCACGAAGGTTTAAAGAGAATAGCATACTGTTCAACTCCGAATACTAAAAGTGCAAGTGCGACGCTGCGCAAAACCCATTCCCATTAAAGGAACTTCATCACCACTCTGCTTCCACCTCGTCAGTTCAGCTGCCCTCTGCCACTTTACTCAAAGGAACAAACTCCAATTGTCCAGTACAACTATAGAGGAAATCGACCAAGCTATAGGCAAGGCCCCCAAGGAAAACTGGAGAAACTGAGTTCCAACCCGTGCATGAGGTTCCATAAGATGATGGATGAGAAGTTCGCGAACGAAATGCCGCCACACCACCCCTATGACCAACAGATACCGCTTAAGGAAGGAAAAGAACCCCCGTTTGGGCCACTCTATGGTATATCCTACAAGGAACTCATCGTGCTCAAGCAATACATACAGGATAACCTTGAAAAGGGGTTTATCCAGGCCATCTCTTCCCCCGCCGGTGCCCCCATCGTATTTGTTAAAAAGGCTGCTGGAACACTCCGTCTATTCGTCGATTATCATGGCCTCAATGAACTTACCGTAAAAAACTACTAAACGCTGCCGCTCATCCGGGAGACTCTCGACTGCCTCCCCAAAGCCAAGTGGTAAATCAAACTTGACCTTCGCTAACAGTATAACCAGATCCGAATGGCTGGAGTGAAAAATGGAAAACATCCTTTTGTACACGTGACAGGGATTTCGGATATAGAGTGATGCCTTTCGGCCTTACCAATGCGCCAGCCACCTTCCAACACTTTATTAACGATTGCGTCCGTGACTACCTTGATATGTTCTGTCCAGCCTACCTTGACAATATTCTCATCTACAATTACATCTTCGAAGAACATCAACTACATGTCAAAAAGGTCCTGGAAGCCCTACCAAGAAATGGAGTACTGCTGAAACCAGAGAAATTCGAATTTCATACACAAAGCATCATCTACCTCGGCTTCATTATGGAACCAAATGGTATTAAAATGGATTCGAAGAAAGTAGAGCCAGTGAAGAATTGGACCGTCCCCAAAACAGGTAAGCATGTGTAAGCATTTCTGGGTTTCGTCAACTTTTACCGCCGATTCATGCGTGGATTCTCGGAACTGGCTTCTCCTCTTACAAGACTAACACGCAAGGATATATCATTCGAATGGACACACAAAGCCCAAATGGTCTTCAACCTCCTGAGAAAAAGCCTTCACAGCCGCTCCCATCCTCACCCCTTTCGACCCAGAAAAGAAATTACTGTGGAAACCGATGCATCTGACTATGTCTCTGTCACTGTACTCTCCCAATACAATGATAATGGTACCCTTCGACCCGTCACATACTTCTCAAAGAAGCACTCCCCCGCCGAATGCAACTATGAGATTTATGACAAAGAATTACTGGCGATTATTCGATCCTTAGAGGAATGGCGACCGGAACTTGAAGGGGCTGCACACCCAATCACCGTCATATCCGATCATAAGAATCTCAAATACTTTATGAGTACTAAACAAATCAACCGGAGACAACCACACTGGGCAGAATACCTATCATGTTTCAATTTTGTCATCAAGTACCGACCAGGGTAACAATGAGGAAAATCAGATGCATTGATACGTAGATCAGGAGATCTCCCTGGAAAAGAGGATGAAAGGCAATTACACCAGAGTCAAGTTGTATGAAGAAGGGGAATCTTGAAGCACAGCTAGGTTTGTTGGCGGGTTCTTTGTCAAATGAACCCTCTGAAAAGAACGGCTAACTGAATATACCATTTGATGAAGGATATAACACTGCCTTGTTCCCACAAAAGATACTAGATATGCGAAACAAAGGTAAACGACAATCGAAGCACATATCAGTCGCCGAATGCACTGAGGTTGAAGGCCAGTTGCTCTACCGAGGCAGGATATATGTTCCTGACTACCTTCCCCTTAAGCTCTTGATCCTCTAGCTTTACCAAGACGCTGTCTCCACTGGACACCCTGAACGTGAAAAAATAGTTGAACTCATCAGTTGAGACTACTACTGGCCCCTTATAAGGAGTTATATTGCCAGCTGTGCTCGGAACTGTCATATCTGTCAAAGAAGTAAACCCAACACCTATAGAAAACTCGGCTTACTTTGACCTTGACTGATCCCCGAACAACCATGGCAAGAGGTATCAATGGACTTCTTACTGGCATACCGGAGAGCGAAGGGTACGACGCAATCATGGTAATTGTTGATCAGTTAACAAAGATGCGACATCTCCTACCATGTAACACCACCATCAACTCCGAAGACCTCGCCCAACTATTCCTGCGAGATATATGGAATCTACACGGGCTACTCACACATATCACCTCCGACCGCGGCACGCAATTTACAGCCAAATTCTGGAGGGCACTCTGTAAACACCTCGGTATCGAAGCAAGAATATATACCGCCTTCCACCCGGAGACCTATGGCCAAACTGAAAGACTGAACACCGTAATGGAACAATATCTACTTGGATACGTCTCTTATCAACAGGACGATTGGGTAAAATGGCTCCCTATAGCAGAATTCTCCACCAACAATCAGGTCTCCACATTCACCAAAGCCAAACCATTCTTCGAGAACTATGGTTTCCACCTCTAGTTTATAGTGACGATTAAATCCCTTGACAGGACCCCACCGACGCTCAATGCTAAGGACTTCGCTTCGAAGATGAAAGAGAACCACAAACACCTACGTTCCAATATCCGCAAGGTGCAAGGCCAATAATAACAGGTCGTTAATGCCAAATGAACGCCGGCCATGCGCTAAGATGTCGGCAATGTAGTGTTTGTTTCAGCAAAAAACATTCGAACCACCCGTAACTCTCGAAGGTTAGACTGGAAGAAGCTGGGACTGTTCCCCCTCAAAGAGATCATATCGCCATACACGTACCGAATCGACCTGCCTAGGAGCATCAATATCCACCCCATCTTCCATGTATCGTTGCTAGACCCCGCTGAAAATGATCCTGTCCTTGGGCAAATCCAACCACCACCACCGCCTATCACCGTTTAACAGGAAGAGGAGTACTCGGTCGAAGAAATCCTGGATTCACGGAATACAAAAAAGAATGTCCTGCAATATTTTGTTAAATGGACAGGCTATACCGACTGCACCTGGGAACCCGCCGCATATTATGACAATACCGCCGCTATTGATATATTCCATGTATGCTACCCTGACAAACCTGTACCTTTGAAAGGAAAAGTTCAGGTTAAGACTCATAGGAGCTCGCGCTTGAAGGGAGGAGCTACTTTCATGGATCGATTAGTTGATACACTGGGCTACAAGGAGCTGCATTAGTCAGAAAGGTTCTATTGAGGTCTATTGGGTTCTGTCGGTAGTAAGTGTATGAGTCACTTTAGATATGTCATCACTGGGATTTCCTTGGGTATATTAGGAGGTTTTGCCTTCGTTTCTGTTCTCTTTCTTTTCTTTCTTTTGATACGCAACGTCTTCTGTACCTACACTGTCTATTACTATATAATATTATTTCCTCTTCTTTACTCAAGAAGACCACCGTGCCGCTGCGTCCCTTGTCCCCTTGACCCTTACTAATACTAGAGTCCCTCAGAACCCCTATTGTAGGCTCCTACATTGACCTCTACTACACCCTTCATACAGTGCGGAATACTCGCTACTCGCCCCCTTGAGACATATCCTGATTTGGATTCTCCTTGAGAGTGTATTCCACCCATCTGGTCTCCATTAAAAATTTGTTGTCCAAATTGTTTAATTCCTCGTATGATTTCCTTTCTTGTCATCTTAGAAAAACCAAATATGCTCAAACACTACATTGTGATATTCGGCATCTTTGAAAGTGGAGGTTCATGTCCTCACTCTGGAGCTTTAATCAGCGACCGCTTCCACCATTGTAATACAGATGGCACGTTCTCGACCCTCATCACTTCTTTTAGGGTAGCTTGTGCTCTACTAAAAGTTGCTTTGAATTGTTTCATTTGGCCATGCAGATGAAAGGGTCTTGTATTTTGAACTAGCTTTGTGG